TTTTTTTTGGTGAATTTATTGAGTAATATTTATACACCCCGGAAATTTTTAAGTTATGTCTTTTATTTATTTATTTATTAACGAATAAATATAATAATAATAATAGAGAGAGAAGGGGTTTCTTAACTCTATGACCCCAAGAAATTTTTTGAAACACAGAATAGAAAACAATTACATATATTAGTGATTGTATCACGTTGTATATACTTTTAGAAAAAGAGGCAGGTACACAATTAATTACATACGTCGGCGCTCGATATAACGAAGCGCCTGTTTTTAAAATTCTTTATGGGGCATGCTTGCAACAAAACCAGGCAAAATGAACATTTGTATTACCAAAAATTTCAGGGTCCAAAATTTTTAACATCAGAATTTTTATAATGTCTCAAGTAAAGTGATTGATTACCTGGCCGAGTTCTTTACCCAACCTGATTGAGAGCTCTAATAGTGACTAAATTTGTCTTTACCACTTGTCAATGTTTTGTTAACCAAATTATTTGCTAATATTCTCTACAAATGTTAGATTGATATAATTGTAAAAAAAAATATTCACAACCAATGAAAATCGTATTTTTTTATTAATTTGTCTTAGTAATCTTCCTTCCAATAGTTATCTTTAAAATTAAAAATTCTATTATCAACTGATATTGATTTTAATTTTTTCCGGAGATGTTTGTTTTAGAACTTCAATAATTCTATTACAATCATCTATTTCATTCAAATGGAAATACAATCCTTTCTAATTTGTTACAATTATTAAATATTTTCATTATTTCTTCATATACTTCAAACCAGGTTGGCAAATTGACTGGTCCACTGATAACAGATGGATTTTGGACTGGTCCATTGCCATTAATAAAATACTAAATATGGTTAAAGTGTTATACTAATGGGCCAATGAACCACCAATAGACCCATCAATGGACTACTCATTTGCCAACCCTGTTCTATTACAATCATCTATTTCATCCAAATGGAAATACAATCCTTTCTAATTTGTTACAACTATCAAATATTTTCATTATTTCTTCATATACTTCAAACTTATATTGTGTTGATAAGTCTAATAGGTTTTTACAATATTGTATTATTGATTGAAATAACTCTCCTAAAGATTCATTATTGTCTGGGAAACCATAAAGTTTTAGATTTCTTAAAGTTCCTCCATTGATTTTAATAAAATCAGACAAGTCTGATAGAATTGATCCGGGGTTGACAAATTGATTGGTCCATTGAGAACTGATGGATTTTGGACTGGTCCATTGCCATTATTAAAATACTAAATATGGTTAGTGTTATACCAATGGACCCAATGGACCCAATGGACTACCAATAGACCATCAATGGACCGCACACTTGCCAACCCTGAATTGACCAACTATAACAAATATTCAATTTCACAAATTCAATGTTTGGTAATAAAATATTTTTAAATATTTTGTTTTGTAACTATTAATTTTTAATAATAAAGTCTTTAATTTTTTAAATGTCAGTACTAATATATGATCTAAATTGTTATACCCATTACTTGAATAATATATTATTGATTGTGAATGTGCTAGAATTGCTTTTTTGTAATTATCTGATAAAGCTTGTTTATGAAATGAATTAATTGTTAACCACTTTATTTGATTTTGCACTTCAATTAGTTGAACCAAACTATCTTCAGCATGAGGATTCTGAAAGCAATTGTCAAATATTTGATAGTCTTTTACCAAATATAGATCTGTTTGGTAAGTATTAAATGTTTTAAGATTTGTTGAATGTTCTAAAATAAATTCTACTAATTTATTTCATAAAAATTCTAATCCACTTTCTGTCACTAAATGAAAATGAGAATTGCCAAAATCAATTCTGGTACATAATTGTATAATGATGGTTTTTCCAATAGGTCAAAAGTTAAAGTTAATTCCATTCTAGTTAAGTGATCCTTATCTTTTTCCAATAAACAATTAATTAATATTTTAGTGATCCCAAAAGAATAAAGTGAGTTTCTCCATAAAATCGGAATACTAATGTAGTGCCATGGTCTATTAACCAGAGTGCAAGAATATAATGTTTTGTAATTATCTGAATTATATATATTCAAATATTTCGATTAAAAGCTCATGTGGCAAGTTCGCCGTCACTCATTTATTACTACTGATAATAATAAAATAAAAACAATTCATAAATAAATAATTAGAGTGACAACAAGTGGCATAGCCATCACCATTCTTATGATAAACACTTACCCTCTTTCAAATTCTTTGTTATTTTCTTGATTCTTTAAATGACATTTTGTTTATTAAAAAGAATTGTGTATTATTATTGGCACTTGGTGTTGGAATGAATTGTTCAGATTTTGATATTTTTATTGATGATAATCATGTGATTATTAAAAAATTTATGTAATGCCTGATTATAAACATAATAGAAATACTCAAGCTCCCAATATCTACCAACTTAAAAATATTGCCTCAGATTTAAAAGATGAAGATTTTGTCAAAGCTGCAGAGGAATATAAAAACAATATTTCAAACAATGAAGAAAATTTTGATGGTAAATCTATTGGGTTATGAATAGTAGGTATAACTTTAATCTTAGGCTTTACAATTGCTATGATTTATGTTACTAAAAGAATTAAAAGGAAAAAATAGATTAATTGTTCAACCATAAGACTTCATTTTTCATATTATTTTCCTCCTAAAGATTTCTGTTTTTTGTTAGGTAATAGCACACCTTCATTCCGCTTTATTTTCCTGATGTTTATTATTTTTCTTTCTTC